TCAGCCGGAAGTTTCCCCCCTCCCCCCCCCCCCCCATCCCCACTGTATGCATAAAATCAAATTAATGGTTGGATTTTTGTTAAAATTAGACTTTTTTTTTTAATAATGAGACTGTGGTTAAATAGTGATTTTGAAAAATAATACAGCTAAAACAAAACCAATTTCCAGACTCACCGACTGAGGAAATTTATTTTAAAGCCTTTTCGTGTATCTTTAATAGCAGCGCCAATAATGCCAATAATTTCAGAAAGATGTCACAAAAAATATCAGTTCAACAAATTTATTGTCACAATACTTTCATTTTTTTTTTATTCTGATGATTTGTAACAAAATCAGTAATAATATGTACATTACTGCAGGTGCTATCATCGAAAGACTTTCACCTCAAAATCTTTAACACTGATACGTTTTTATGTAAATTCATACAACATATTGAATTCTTGTCAGTCTCAACAAGCATACAGGAGTTATAAAAACCAACGGAAAACTTTAGATGACTTTAGACTCAATCATCCTGCTCATACAAACTGTGGTAAAAAAAAAAAAAAAAAAGTCAGCTCAATAGCATTCAAAGTATGTTCAACATTTAAAAAATTGTCCTGTGCATTTACAAGTGATCTGCTAAACACATCAGAAGAGAGAAAAAAAAATCTGGAGATGGCAAAATCTGACTTTGACTCAAAGCACCTTCAAGCTCCAAAGTGAATACAGTCAGCTCGCACAGAGGCAGCCTGCACATTTACCGTCTGATTAACAGCTCTTTGACTTCACTTTTCATTTGTCATATTACAACATATATTCCAAAACAACAACAACAAAATCTGCTAAAGTAACTCTGATACAATCAAGACACACATTACTTACACTCCTCCGGCTGGTAAATACTGTTATTAAAATTTCTGATACATAGAAATCTGAAAATAAAATCATTTAAATATCAGATGAACAAAATCACATTGACGTCAGTGTGCCACAGATCCAGTCTCTCAATATGTGTTCTCATTCATATATATATATATATATATATATATATATATATATATATATATATATATATATATATATATATATATATATATATATATATATATATATAATTAAAGTCATAAGAGTCAGTTGACAGAAAGGAAATTTTAAATTTAAATTCAGGGATAAATAGTGTGCTTCATAAAAACAGTTTTAATCGATATTTTCCTTTAAGACTTCAGCTGTCCTTCTTCAGTAGATAATTCTTGAGAGATACGTCATTTCCTGTTTAACACACAGTTTTTGTGTTGCAGCAGCACTTCGTCTTTCTTTATGCTTCATCTGTAAAACAGTACATCAGGTGTTTATGTGCTTCTAAAATAATCCTGCTCCATCCCTGGAGCTCCCACAGCTATTGGATCATTTTTTGGATTTTAATGGATTAGGGACTAACCTGAACCTGGACGCCACAAGCTACAGAATATAAATTGTGCTGGCATGTTTTTGCATCAGTGTCAGAAACCTTTCGCTAACAGGAACATTTCCTCTGCGTGCATAAGGTGATTTCAGGGCTGTATTATATGCCACAGGCCTAAATCTGGTTCATCTGGCTCCATCTGGTGTTTGTGTTGTGATCAACAAAAATGCTCATGGCTGGTAGATGTCGTAGAGGTGAGCATGTCTTCTTGTGATCATTGCTTTGTGTGACTTTGTTTGCAAATGGGTTTCGAGGGGGGAAAAAAGTTAGACAGTTTAGCAACCATATGCTGCAGAGCTAATATCTGGAAAAAAAAGAGCAACATGTGATTGACTTCAGTTTGTTCTGAATTAAATGCATGCAATTTGTGCACATCTTAGGACAGAACCTGCTTCCCACTTTTTCTTTTTTCTTTTTTTTTTGTTCTTTACAGATGTCATTATCGCTCAGTGAAAGGTCATCTTGCCATCAAGTTAACATAGAACAGCAGCCTAAATTTTATCAGCAGTCCTGGCACATGCTCTCTTGGGTCTGATTTGTTATCTAGTATAGGGGTGATCCTGCATCCTGCAGGTTTTAGTTAGTTAGTAATAACAACCTTTTCAGCATGTCAACGTTCTTCTTAGGCCTTCTAATGAGCCATTATTTGATCCAGGTGCGTTAAACCTGGGAGAGAAATGGTGGAGAGAAATTAGCCACCACAATTTGTCCCTGTTTAAACTTGCATATTTTTGCCAACCTTGATAACACAATGTTCACTTGCTGCCTCATATAGTCAGGCCTCTATGAAGTGAGAAGAGGAAGAGAAATTTGATGGCATTTATTTTGTCAGTGGTCATAGTGTCATACTTAGTACTTTGACGCTGTAACTTAATTTGAAACTCTATCTGGGAATAAAAATATCATTTGATTAAAAAAAATATGATTACATGTATAAAAAAATACCAGTGAGGACTAAGAGAGTGAATAAAAATATTGATCTTAGCCTCATGTATCAGAGAAATCTGAGTTATGGTTTCCACTTTTTGGTTTTTGGATCGCTTTGGCTTCATCCCATAGACTATTATCATGATCTTTTCTGTTTTCCAAAGATTCTTTATGTTCTGCACCTATTTACACGCGGGCCCACTCGCAGTCACTCGATCTGCCTGGGACTCCTGCTGTCGAATATCATGGACCTCCTCTGAGGCTGGTAGAAGCAGCTGGTTGATGTTTCGAGTCTCTGTCCGCTTTTCGGGATCGTCATCTTATTCTGCAGAGCGTGTCCCTCTTGTGTCCTGAAGTTCTCGGTCATGTCTTTGGAAAAGACGTTGAGCGCCGACGTGTCATTTAGACTCTTGATGGATGAGAGCAGCTTGCCATCGTCCCCTGATGTTGGATAGTCCATGAACGGGAAAGGGGGGCTGAGGAGGATGAGGCTCTGAGGTCTCTGCCGGTTTCTAAAGGACGGCCTTTGCAGCAGTGCTCCTCTGTTGGGTCTAGGACCGTCTACAAACACTTCCAGACTCGGGGCATGCCTCCTGGTTATGACTGGCAGCTCTGGGGCGGCATTCTTTCCAGCTTCAGCTGATTTCTGAACATTTGCATGCTTTTGGTGTTTAGGGGGTGGCTCTTTGTTCTCCAGTTCCTCCTTTAGGTCCGACATCATCATAGGCGGGATGGCAGTGCTCGTGTCTGTGCTTGTCCTTGGTAATCCCTTTTCTTGCTCCTTCACAGTGCCAGAATCACTTTCCTGTCTTGTTTGAGGTATCTGGCTGTACTGCACCTGCGGAGGGACAACGGGCACAGCTTTGACCTGACATGTTTTTATCATGAAGGCTGTCCGCACCGATGACACGCTGACTGGGGCAGAGTTTCGGCGGAGAGGCGCCTGTCTGTCATTTAGAAACAGATCCAACTCAGAATGTCCTTTATTCACAGTTCCAGAAGCGGCCAGCAAGCCTTTTGGACCAGAAAAAAACTCAGACGACTTGCGATTTTGCTGATTTGAAATGTCTCTTATGCATCGATGGCTAAGGTCTAAGTTAAGGGAGCAGGGTCTTTGTCTGAAAGAGCCGTGCTCCTCTTTTTTCTCTGCCGTTGTTGTCTCACATGACATTTGCCTGGTGAATCTCTGAGATGATGCTGTATTCTTTGGTTTTGCCGTGCTGCTCTTTGTTGTTGGAGGTTGGGTTGCATTATTGTTGTTCAAGCTCGTCCGTCTAGGCACCAACGGCAGATTGGTCCATTTAATTTCTGGGTTAGCTCCAACACTCTGAGGAATGTTTTCAGGAGATGAATCCTCTGGGTTCGGAGTTTCTCCCTTAGAACTGAAGGGGGAAAGCTGGTTAAACAGCTCCTCGACGTCAGGCGAGTGCAGAGGACTAGTAACCCACTGCTTGGTGGAGCTAAGATCCTCCCAGGACTCCACCAAGTCCAGCTCCTCCAGGTTCATTCCAAATACGTCTTCGTCATCAAAGTTTGCCAGCTCTGGAGTGTTTCGTCTCTCCTCTAAACACACCGAAAGTCTCTGACAGAGTTCCACCTCAGGATTCACGCTTTTCTTTACTTCGTCCTGCGATATTTTTGTGTCCTCTTGTTTCTCAGATTGTCTGTCTGCACTGTCTGAGAAGCTTGCGACCTGTGGGGCGTCCTCTATCGTTAGAGGATTTCTAACGCAGTCTGCCCTGGTTTCCCTCCTGGGAACCTGGCTGCTGTAAGCTGGAGCACTTTTATGCAAAGGTTTCAGCTTCTCTTTTGCATCTAATGCGCTTGAAATTTGGACGTCAAAGTTTTTGTGAACACAAAACAACAGGTCTGATTCCGAGGGCTGTTTTCTTTTTGAGTCGGGTCTATTTGCAGTTACACGCTCGCCCAAAGAGGCGTTCGATGAAGGCTCCTTACAAAGCAGAGATAAAGACGGAGAGCTGCGGCTTCGCTTTGACTTGACGTCCATTGTTAACTTGGTGCTTGTTGAAGCAAAAACCGGTTTGAAAGTCTTATGCAGCAGGTTGATTTCGGGCTCAGTTATCTTCAGCTCCTGATGGAGGTCAGACCAAAGCGTTTTCCCAGCTGCAGGTCCAACATCCTGAGAGATACAAGGAGACGCGAATTAATCACAAAGTGACTGAATATTTAACTTTTGACTTTATTTTGAGCAAGGGTTTGGATTTTAACAAGCTTAAAATTTAAAAATCCAAATGAAATTTATTTTTGAAATAATAACAAGATGCAATATTATTCATACCGGGAGCAGACTGAGAGGAAACATGTCTCTTAACTTGACAAACATGTTTCTTTGGGAACAATATAAACTTAAATCGTGCAATAGATAAAGAATTGCACTGATTAATTAGAGACAGCTGTTTATATCAACTCAAAAGGTGAAAAAGCAGAAACTCTCTGCAGCTGGTTTGTGGAAAATCATGGCAGTGCAGAGGAAAGGGAAACTCAGGAAACGGCTACAACTCCATATCTACTTGTCTTGAAGCTCCACTGTCAACATGCACAAACATTTAAGACATTTCACTGACTTTAACTCTAAATCTCCCAGGAGTGTTCATAGTTTTTGGCTTAACTATAAATCTAATCATTCTAAGGAAGATAACAAGAACTGACGGGACAGAAAATAATTTACCAGTTGTGTATCTTTAGTGAGATTGTGAATGTCTTCTCCAGAAGATGGCGCTGTATCTTTGTCTTCACTTTTTTGTGGATTAGGTAGCTCTTCCAGTTTAGAAACAATCTTTACTCCTTCATTTTTTTGCAATGTTTTCTTGTCTTTATCTGAAAGAAACGTACATTTTCCTTCATTTCAAATAAAACACTTAGCTGAAGTGAAGCCCTGTATAAAAAAAGCTGTAAAAGAGATTTCCTTACCCTCTGGCGACACTCTGAAGGTCAGAACCTCGGTGTGCTTCTTCTCTGTTCCTTCCTGCCTTTTCGGCTCCAGCAGAGGGAACGTGTTGCTCTTTTTAAAGTGGCTGCTCTGCTCTGTAGGCTCCCTGCAAGGCTTCAAAGTGGCTGCTTTCTCTTTGTTGGGCCCCCTGCACGGCGTGCTGTTGGAGCTGATGACGGCAGACACGCGTAAGGGCACGGACACGGCAAAAGGCTCAGATATGTTGACGGCTCTGCGTTGGTGCCTCGGCGAAGACTCCAGTGGGAAGAAGCTGCCTGGGAACGAGGGCCGGGAGGAGCCGGAGTACAGCATCCTCCTGTTTTTTGGAGAACTCGGTTTGTAGTTGCTGAGGTCATCCCCTTTGAACACCTTGAGCTGTTCTGGCATTGTTTTCTGGAAAGAGGACGCTCCCGGTGAGTCTTTGTGGTTCAGGCCGGAGCTCCAGCCGGCCTTTGCACCACCTCTCTTTGCTTTCATCTCCCAGTTTTGGCTATGTTCGTTCAGATCATAGAGGGAGTCAGATCCCAGTGTTCTGGATTTCACATCAGGAATAAAAATACTATTGGATCCATCAGCTGAGGTATTGCTTCTTGCCCCGTCATCATCTGTGCAATAGAAAACATAATTGTTTTTTTGTTTTTTTTAAGCCAGTAATTAAGTTTTTGTTTATACCCACAGTGCTTTAGAACGTTGCATCTGCAAGCATCAATGTATTAATATTTTATGCACCAACACAAAGTAGCCCATAATTGTGAAGCTGTAGTGGAGGTAAAAGTTTATTATTATTTTTTTTTTATATAAATAAATTCTAAAAGGTGTGGTCTGAATAAAATACATGCCAAACCTTTCAGATTTCACTGTTTTCCTTTGATTTACTTCATAGTTGTACACGACTTTATGTCTGTTACATGAAATACATTTGTGTTTGCAGCATGACAAAATGTGAAAAGTTTTCCGTGTCAGAAGGCTCAGCTGTGATATATAGTATTTAAAACTGGCTTCACCTGGAGACGAGGAGCACAAGGACTCCATGCTTCTGGAAGGACGCAGAGCTGCCTTTTCTGTAGAAAGAAAAGTCAAACAAGTAAAAAGTTACCAGTTTTTTTATAAGTAATAATTTAAGACAATATGGACATGAAAATCCTGTTGTGCCCAATATATTTAACCTAATGATTAGGAGTCGTAAGTACTTAATTTATTTTAGTATCTTGTTTTTGGCATCTCTATAAAAAAATCTATCTACATCTATAAACTGAGTCATGCTATTTGTGGCATGTTCATATATTCTTTAAATTAGTGATGCCAGAAATGTTGGCTGCTTATGTGGCATTTCATTAATCCCTGAAGTTGTAATCTGAGAATAACTTAAACATTTTCCAGTTCTATGTTCAAAATCCAGTGTAAACTGAAAAGCTAAAAGCAATATAAGCTAACAGCAGAACATTTTGTGTTTTCAAAAGCTTTCAGCAAGGTTAGCAAAGAACAATGTGTAATACTGTGTGTTTATGTTGAATTTTTTAAGTTACTGAAAAACCTTTTCACACTGGTGTTGAGCTTCAGGGGAATTTTCTGTTACTTTTTGCAAGTTCATACTTGGAAGTTTCATCTTTTTAATCAAAATGACAAACATTATTACATCCTCAAGTCAAGCAGGACAAATTGATATGAATGTTTTGGGCTTATTCAGCGTCCAAGGCCTGTTTCTAGATGGTTTTAATATGGTTCAAAATTATAGTTTTTATGGAAATAGTCTTTAACCACTAACCCTAATCACTTTCTAAAGCATACAAAACACTGTTGTCCTTTTTTTAAAATGTATTTATTTAATCTTATTGTCTGCATCCTCTTGTTATTTTCTGAGAATGCAGTAAAGTTTAAAGTCTGCCAGTGTGTTTGTAGTCAGAACATTATTTGTGTGTGTTTATAGGACACGAATGGAGCAAAGCCTGACCTGATGCTCCCTGTGCTCTGATGAACACACTGCCATTGCGGCTGAGTTTTCCCTTTGACTCCACAGATCTTCCCAGGTTAAAGATAGACTTCCACTTTTTAGATTTTCCAGAGAACCTCCTCCTAATCAAAACAAACAACAACAACAACAAAAAAGAAGAAGTGAAATCAAATCTATTTTTTCTGCTTTTCTATCAATCGTTAACTTGAAAGGCTGAATTTGGATCTTACTTGTTGTCTGATATTTCTATGACTGTGTGATAGAGCGATGCAGTGCTAGTGTCAGGTAGGCTGTTCTCTCGCTGACGTTCTTTGTGCACTGGGTGATTTGGACTTAAGGAGCGGGCCTGGGCTTCTTCCAGGCTCATCAGTTTCATAGGCCCACTCCCACCACTGATCGGGAGAGTGGCATATTTCTCTGCACACATCAAACTCGGTCCTGCAAAAGTATATTCTGTTAGTATCAGTAAAAATCTCTTACAATTTCAGTGTTGCAAGACCTGCATCACACCTTCTTTGGGTCTTATTTGATCCGAATCACCACTGAAGATCTGCTCTGTGTGGTTTAAGATAAACTCAATCACTGACTGCTGTATTCGCACTTCCTGGAAGGCCATGTCTCCATTACCAGATGAAGTCTCAATGTCCTTGGATCTAAAAAACACAAGATGTAGGATTGTAAGGATAAACTGCTGATTACAAGTGTTTCTCAAAATGGTCATCAACAGGAATTAATAGTAAACAAACATGGCCTGTCTAAATATAAAGGGCAGTAACCAAAATAAAACAATCTAAATAAAATGTAACAGAAATGTTTCTGTTGCCACCATTCGTGCACTATTGTGCTTTTTTAATTGCTCCCTGTGGAAAAACTGTGGCTCACTCTAATTTGCAAAATTATTTTGATTCAGCCATTTTCCTTGGTCTGGCAGAAAAACATTGATTACCATAAAATGATGTCATCAAACTACCACCACCATGTTTGACTGCTGGGATGACGTCTTTTTTTGTTGAAAGGGTGAACGCTACCATTGATGACATTTGTGCCCAGTCCCTTTCTTATTGTTGGATTATGAACGTTCACCCTAAATGGGTCCACTTAAGCTGTAAATTTCTATTATTTTCTCCATTTGTGAATGATGTCTCCCACTGCAGTTTGATAAAGTTTCAAAGTGTTAAAAGTTGCTTTGAAACCTATTCCAGACTGAAAGAGGTCAGTGATTTAAAACTCTTTCACTAAACATTTTCATCATAAACCTGCAAAGATGAGTTATTTATGGCTCTTCAGAAATCACAAGTGCAGATGTTGAAATGCCGCACAGTTGTAAGGTTTTAAAAATAAAGTTGGTAATGCAGGACATCCCAAAGTTTTGTGTGGGGTGATAGAAGCACTACAGGTCAAATTTATTAGAAGCCTCATCGTAAGATTGTTTTGGAAAAAATAACGGTGGACGAATTCAGGATTGGGATGCTAAATATCTAAAGTTTAATTTATATTTTCCACCAGACTCACTGGCTTAGCTCAACTCTGTCTGACGTTCAAATTTGTTTGATGATAAAAATCAATGAATGTAACAAAAAATGTAAAAACAGAAGAGACTTGTGAGGGGGCAAATGTTATACGGCGCCGTATGCCTAAAATATTTCCAGTGTGGGTTTAAACTCACCTTAACAGATTTGGAGCCCAAACCAAAGCCAGATTGCGCGTGTGCATATTTGTCTGGGCGCTTAAGGTAGCAAGACGGGCCAAGTGCTTGGAAAGGTATTCCAGAGTCCTGAGAACAGTTGCTTAACAGTTGATTTCATCATATTTTTCACAGCTTTGAAGTCAATAAAAGTAAGCTGGACTGCTGTTTTTGAGGAGCTGAGAGCGAAAGATGTGTGGTTTACCTGAAGTGAGGGGAGGGAAGCTCTTTGATAACTGTCTGAATATGTGAAAGTCTGTCTTGGTCTCCTTGAAACGACACAGCCTCCTGTGTGAGAAACAAAGATAAACACAATGGCAGTCGTGTCATGTCTTATGTATTTTTAAGTTTTTCTCCAACGCTTTAAGAGACCGACAGTCATGGCACAAACAAGTTCAAATTATGTCCACATATATGGGATGTAAATCGGTTATAATTCAGTTCAAAACAACCAGATTCATTCCATCACAACCCAATTACATGGTTGCATTCAGATCTAGTTTGATTCAAATCATATTATTTTGAATTACGATTTGAAATTCAAAATAATAGCTAACTCAGCTACAACATTAGCGGTTAAGGATAAGTGGTAACATTGTTTTGGGGAGGCCCAGCTGGTTGCATGGGGTCACTGCAGCAATCCCTCTCTGAGTAACCATCCAGCTACAGACTCATTCAAGTTCATTCTCATTAAATATTAAAATAGAAGAGCTGCAACGCATGTAGTTAAACAACACTGAACTTTATTTTTATTTTAGTTTTTATTGAAGTAATTATAGTACATTGAAAAAAAAAACCTTCAAACAAAAACTATCCAAGTACATTTTTTTTTCTAAGGATATAAAATGATATTTGAAGACACAAAAGCATCTGCTCATGTCTAAATGTGTTTGAGAAGTCGTAAGGATGAAACAAGTCTGACTTTATTTCTTTCAGGCCAAATTCGGACATCGTATGTGGGCTAAAAACAGTCAACGTTTTCATTTTGACTAAATAAGGACACCTAAGTGACCTGAAATATCCATAAAAGTAAAACCATGGATGTCCAGTCTTTGTGGGTAAGAGATGTGTGATCAGCCAGTTTTCTGTTAGAACCCCAGGAGAGTGAAACGCTTTTCAAAGCATACCAGAGAGCTGGAGTTAAAGGCACAGCCAGCCAGAGATGTAAGAAAGCCAAGGTATGCAAATAACCCAGTCAAAGTACACACACTGCTCCACAGAAAGCAGTTCTTACACTTGAGTATTTTTGTCCCATTTTCTCCTGCTGAAGTCTCTTTCATATTTGCATGCATCCAGAAAAGCGGCCAAAAACTTTTCTTTACTACCAAGTGTAGAAATTATACAACCTACACTTCATCTTTGCTGGTTATCGGTTCAAGTTTGGGTACATTTTAGAATCTGGTCACATTTTATTGTTTCGATATGTATTTAATGGAACTGAAATGGAAAGATTTTTTGGTATTGGAGAATAGCATGCTGTCCCTCAAAGTGAAGCCCTTCTAAATACAAAAACAAAGACACTGACTAAACCAGAGGTGGGCAACTCCAGGCCTTAAGGGTCGGTCTCCTGCAACTTTTAGGTGCATCTCTGCTTCAACACACCTGAGTCCAATAATGAGGTCATTAGCAGGACTCTGGGGAACCTGACTGCACTTAGGAGGTGATTCAGCTACTGGATCCAGGTGTGTTGGACCAGGGAGACATCTAAGAGTTGCAGGACACCGGCCCTCAAGGACCAGGATTGCCCAGCCCTGGACTAAACATCTTGGAAAAATCTCTGAACTCTGATCAGAATCCCAGCGAAGTCAAAACCATGTTTCATGACGGGAACGATATGTTCTGGCTGATATATGAAGCTACGTATAAAACAAAAGCAAGAAGAAGTAATTTCATGACGGCAAAAACTTACATTTTATTTTCCCATAGGCCAGATTTGGGTTGTTCTGCTTATAGTCTTTTCCTCCATTATGGAAGTCCAATGACATAAATATATATATTTTTTTATTTTAGCTAGCAACTATATTTGAAAAAAATCATTACCTGATGTACATGAACATCTGTTTCTTTACAAAAACAATGCAAGATGAACATTAGCGTAATCCACAGCCATACCGTCTCATTCATACAGGATTTTTTTAATTCTCCACATGAAACTAAACATACTCACAGTGAATTTGCTGTAGAGCTCATATGTGAGCAGAGGATTGGGCAGCTCCCTGAAGTAGAGCTTACATAAGGATCCCACACAGTGGATGTCCTGGAGGTATACTTCCTTGGTAAGGTCAGGGCACGCCTCGGAGCAGAATTCCTGCCTGCACAAAAACATCCACACACACCGAGTTAGCTGAATGACGGGACTGTTCAGCACCCCAGCTCACTTCTGCTGCCCTCTGAGGCTCGTCACACTGAGATGCATCCGTCTGGCTGATGTTGTTGGAAAACAGGAAAACACTGAATTAGAGAATCTCATTTATTTCAAGGATGCCATTGAAAGATTTGCTCATATTTGATCTGCCTTTTGTTGTTTTATGACTAACAATGCTGCAAAAAAAAATATGCATTTGCCCTCTTAAGCATTGGAATTTTATGAATGACTTAAAGGCTTAAAGGTCATCAAACAACTTTATCATCAGAAAACTATAAACTCATGATGATTTTATTTGTTGCGGTAAATTGTAATAACTAGTTGTTCCACCACTGGCAGCAACAATTGTCATCAAGCATTTATGTTAACTAGCAACATATCTTTTACATCCATGTGGAGGAATTTTGGACTTAAATATGGACTTTGTCTTTATCTCTTCAAAACCTCTACTTGTTAAAGTTGCTGCAGTGCTTTGGACCGCTTTCCTGCTGCATAATTGAAGCTACTTGAGGTGATGGACAGACTCTACTTGAGGATTACTTCTATTCTTGATTTCGTCGACTACAGTAAGCTGTCAAGGTCCTGAAGCAGCAAAATGGCCCCAGACCGTCACACTGCCATCTTCATCTTTGACTGTCGGCAACGGAAATGCTTTGGTAATTTTGCACCAGTTATAAAAGGATGTACATCTGTAAAAAAAAATGTCCAAAGACTATTTTTTTCTCAAAAGTCTTGGGGATTATCAAGACACTTTTGGGAGGCTAATCTGAGTCGGTGCTTGACCGTGGGACTGCTCTATAGATGTACTTTACTTCCAGCCTCCTTCTTATTGTTTAATTGTGAACACTGACCCTAAGACTCCTCAGGGTCTTTGATGAGATCTTATCGTAATTTTGGTAGTCTGGAAAATTTTCCAACTGTTTCATGTTTTCTCTGTTTGAGAGTTACGGTTCTCACTCTGAGTTGATAAAGTCCCATAACCTTTGAAATGGTAATCTTGTCAATACTTTTAAGTGTCAGTGACTTTGTTTCTCATATTTTCTTGAATTTCTAGCTATTAGGCTCTGATTAAGGCATTAGTTGTTGCTTTTTGAGCTTATTTTGCTCACTCCATGTTGTCAGATAGGTCCTCTTTAAAGCATGTCTTTAGCCTACAGGTATGGCAGTAATCAGGTCTGGGACTAGCAAGTAAAATTACATCTAACATCCAAATTAAAAAGGGGTTAATGCCAACAAGTTCACAATTGAATAGGGATTTTTTTCTTATCGGACTGAGCTGCTTTGGTTACCCTGTTTTACACAACAAATGGAACCATCATTTGAAAACTGCATTTTCTATTTACACAGTGTAACTCTGAAACATTTATGTGCAGAAAAGAGGCTAAAACATAAGAAAAAAAAACCTGAAGGTAGGCAAATACTTTTTCACACGTCCTTTTCTTGTCGGGAGTACCTGAGACGCTGGATGTTTGAGGTGACCCCTGAGAGTCTGTAGATCCCATCCACAATCCCATACTGCTCAATAAACTCCGCACACTTCTGGAGAACCTGGGGAACTGTAGGAAGGAAATCGCATGAAGAGATTGGATTTCGTTTAGTATGTCTCAATTTCTTTGCACTACGCAGACAGCAGGAATAAAGCAGTAAAAATAAACAGCTCTGATAGTCACGCTTTAACTGTAACAATGCACAGAGGAGTAAGCCCATGTGATGTGGTTTGTTTTACTACACGCCTGCTCCTTTGCTCCTCAGGGTCGATGACTGTAGGTGGACGTAGGCAGGAAGTTAAAAATGGTTTGTTTGTTTCAGAGGAAAGTTGACACACCCAGTCCTTGTGGCTGGTATTACTTACGACATTTCCTCTAATAGAAATAGGCTTTTGTAATGTTACCACTGACCTACACACTGCTTTCCTAACAACAGCCCATCATCCCAGTAAACAGCCCGGCTGTGGTTTTTAAAGTGTCTGTGAAATCGCATGTCTGATTTTTCTGACCACAGCTTCTCTTCAACTAATAACGATACTAATAAGCGACTGCAGCTCAGTTTTATTCACCGAGGTTTTCACAAGGTTTGCTGTGACGCAGAAACAGATCAGTGAGCTTTGTCGTCAAGTATTGGGCAATGTTGCATGTGATTTGACAGTTTTAAACAGATTAATCATCTTTTTCCTACGTTACTGAAGGGTTTTAAGTAGTAAAACGCAGAGTTATGATTTAAAGTCTTGTGTTTTTGTGATGCAGTGTGACATGTAATCAGAAATCTGAGTTTTTGTCCTGCAATAGTACTACATACATGGCTTCTACTTATTTCTTTTTTTAATTAAAAAAATAATCCTCATTTGTTTTTCTCAAGTTTAACACAAAATAGAAATCTTTTCTGTGCTAAGTCTATTTAACTCAATCTATTTTGGCTAGTAAGAGTTTCATACTCATGCACAGCTGGGTACATTATTCATATTTTGAATTCTTTCTCTCTCTCAGTGCCTTATTTTCTGGTATTAACTTCAAATATTTTGGAAACAAAGATGCAGAACCCTTCTTCCACAAAAACGAACGCCCGAATATTTCTGGCAAGAGTTAATTTCTCACAGCTCACCACAGAAAGCAACAGATATTTAAATTCTCGTCTTTCTGACCTAAGTAATTGGATTTCTAATTGCCTGCTTGTGGTCAGAATCTGAAAGACGAGCGACTCCTGGGTTGTCATTTAGCTCCTCTCTGTTTAGACACGGGGTGAACTTTTCTCATAGACTGGCAACAAATATAGTTGGAGTTTGGACGTATTTCTGAAGATACAACAGCACATGTAATAATTTGTGGGAAGCTTTTAAACTTGAAAAAAGAAACAGTCCATGGGATCAGTTCAAACATTTCTTTTTTCACAGATTTTTATATTTGTAGCTTTCTCTTTGAGTGTAACTTTTTAAATCCCTTAAGAGCAGTGCAGTTTAAAAAATTTTTTTTAAAAAAAAAGCATTTCACAACAACAGTACTATTTTGTTAACTTAAGTGACATTTCGGCACACAGAAACACAAACATAACTTTCATAAACACTTTTATGTAATTAAATGAAAATCGTTTTGCACATTTTCTGTTTTGATTAGGAAAAAAAGTGCCTCTTTTCATTTGTATTTACTTGTTTTGTTTGAGTTGCAAATTTTATAATCACAAAGAAACAAAACGTACTATTAGTCGTAGTAATAATAATAGTATTCATTGTCATTTATATATGAGCACCTGCAATACTAAAGTAATCAAACCAGTAAATGGAGCTATAACAAGAGGTTTTATGCAGGCAAAAAGGTTTTCCATAGTGATTTAAAAATACTCAATCTTATAAAACTAACTGCAGTGGAAATGAAAATAACCTATTTAATTTGTCTATAAATATGCTTGTTCTTGCAGAGGAGATGACTCAATCATCTGCAGCAGCAAAACATTCTGTTATATGCAGGGTGGTGGACGTTAGCTGGTTTTATTTGTGTTTATCTACATCAAGAAAACTTGTGGCTAGACAGCCTGTCTGCGCTTTGCCTCTTGTAGAGATGAACATATCAAAAAATACACAGATGACGTTAGCCTGCCTGAACAGACGGAAAAGAGCCTGCTGCAGAACAGCATTGTGTAAGGGCTAACCATTTGGATCACAGGGGTTTTTTTTTAAGAATAGATTTATTTACGCTCCTTTTATTTCTGTTTAAATAATAATATTTTAAAAAACTTATTACAAATTGTGTTTTTGTATTGCTAATGGCTAAACAGCAGATTTACAAGATTTATTTTAAGGTTACATTTGGGCTCTGGGTCGATTCAGACCTTTACCAATTCGGAACCCTGAATCATATGCAGGTGTTGTTATATCGTCCCATTAATGACAATTTGGTATAACCATACAAAGATACACAAATATACATAATCATTTCATTGAAGGTTACTTTTGTTGTTAAGCAAGTATTTTGACAAAATGCAGAGATCGATAATAAACAAAATGCTCAAATTTCATGGTTCATTTTAATTGAATTTACTCCTTTTTTTAAGAGTTTACATAGTGTTAGTTTCTAATCTCCTTGATTGTGGTTTGATCCATGTCTGGGTCAGATGACTCTTAAAAACTATGACGCATTATGAGCTCCGATCAAACCGAAATACACTGCAGGACAAACACAACTTCAAGTTTCTGTTTACACCGCTTTTATGATTACTGCAGAACAAATCTTTGATTTCATTTTTAATCTTAAAGTTAAAAAGAAAGAAAAAGAAGGAAGTGACAAAAAAAGGGAGAAACAAAAAACAAGAGAAAGAAAGCAGAAGAGAAAGAAAGAAAGTGATCATTTGCCTCATAGGTTTTCCACAGCCCACCAACAGCAAGGACAATATGTCTGCTGCTGCCATGACACAAGACTCTGACCCACACCTCCTCCCTCACTTCCTGCTCTGAATGCTCCACCTCACACTGATCCCATCTAGCAGGTCTTTCTTAAATTTATCTTTAAAGAGTCTGTTCATGTGATTTCCGTTCACTTAACTTTCCGTATGTATGGAAACTTTCACACAAAGGTTGTGAGAAGTCAAAAATAAAATCTATCTTTATATGTATATAAAAAAAAATGTTTTTCTATTAAACTTAACACATTGCTGTGTTATCTCCTTTTGTCTTTTTACTTTTCCACCATACAAAACTAATAGTGATATCTGGTCTAATTTTGACATAAAACTTGTCGTAGGAGCTGCACACAACAGGAAATTTACACAAAAAGAATCTACGAGCCCCACCCTGGGTTCATTAAATGCAGCCAATGGGTGAATGAATGTTCATAATAAATGGAAAACATATGTATTTTGATAAAAGACATCTGTAGTCTTTTAAACAAAAACTGTTTCTTACATAAAAACTACATATGTTTTGTCTTTCTTCACAAATGGCATGTTTGTAAAAAAAAAAAAAAAAATTAAAAAACATAAAAAGGTTAAAAAAGTAAAAAAAAAAAAATGTATTCCTTCATGTGTCTGCGTAAAGCAACCAGTGAAGGACATACTGTCTAGGTAGGAAGTGCTAATTGCCCAATAGTGTTAGATTTCAAAGCAAGCGTTACCATCTTGTCCTGAGCCCTGGAGATGTTCTGTCAGGTCACAGCCGAACACATTCTCACTTCCTTTCTTTTTGGTCTTCTGCTTGTTTCCTTTATTCTTCATGTGGGCTCCAGTTAGTAGTCCAGAAGACTGAAACAGAAAGTTCCCTGAAAGCACCAGAATTGATCCATATGAGCCCAAAAACCAGAAATTAGTCGGCAGGTCAAAAGGCAGCCGCACAGGAATCCCAGCACACAGCTCCCAAATGCCTGCATCCGCTCGCACCCTGACAGACCGTACGGCTGCTGCTGACGTCACTTTTCAAACTTCAGCTCTTTTTACATGGCTCGTTCTTCGGGAGATGAGCCGAGAAAAGACGCGGTGGGACTGTTCCTCATGGTGCTCAGCTGAATTATGTGAGCTGATCTGGAGAAACAGCATTAGAATCGTTTGGTTTCCTGTTGTTTTTTCACCCCCAGTCTCTCTCTCTTGCTCTCCCTCTCTCTGCTCTTTTATCTCCTCCTCTTTTCCTTCATTCCAGTCTGTTCTCCTCACTGGTTTCTTCTGCAGCTGAGACACCCATCCATTAGGAACATGGCTATAGTTGCTTTTTGAGAAAGACTTTCTGCGTTTTCTGAATTGAGGGATAGCCTCGTGGCAGTGATGTGGCAGGGATTTTTCAAGCGTCCAGACTATGTAAGAGGGAGGGAGACGAGGTTATGGGAGGAGGAGAACAGCTGACATCTGTTTCTCTCCCAGTTACTGACCCCTCTTATATATTTTTTTTTCTCCCCTCCGTTATGTCCTCATAGTTGGAGCTAATGGGAAAGCTTCTCCCTGCCTTTCCTGAATGCTCCCAATGTATACACAGTTTCCTGTGCAAAGAGCCCAGGCTCAAAAACAAAAACAGACGGGCTCTGAAGGAAGAGGAAAGTGGGAGGTGACTCAAGTGAGGGCCTGAAGGGCACAGATGGGAAACGAGGGGGGGGGGAAGAGAGTTGGTGGACCAAGATGGACAACACGTGGTTCTCATTACTAACTGCCTTGTATTTTATTGTTTTCCTTTTAAATTAGACTGCAGCGTCAATGAAAACACAGAATTAATCAGTGCAACGTGTTGACTTTAAATGCAGGGAGTTAGTTAATCACGGTTTCCTCCACAGCTGCCCTCCATGTCTCCACCAGATCTATTTCAGTTACATCCCAGCTCTGGAATGCCAAGCCTGGTAAATATCATGTAATAGTGCAGGATATACCTTACGACCGGAGCCCTCTGACTCTCACCACGTGAGAAAATAAAACGCTAAGGCAGTAAATTTAATTTTATGACTTTGTAACCAAGGATAGATGAACTGCCTGTGACTGCACACCTCACCCTACTGTATAAAACTGTATAAAAAGATGCAGTGATCAACCATGAAATTGATAGAATATCAAAATTTCATTTGCATTTTGTTAGAGCTGATTCACCTTGGAGAAGAGGTGAAGCATCTCTACGAATCCAGAATTATTAAATCTTATTTTAAGACACAGTAATTCCACATTCTGTAAATTAGACTCACCAGATCCACGCTCTTCCAATCAATCTTCCTCATCTTTGAGAAACACTGAGTTCCTTGCTGTACGCCATCCTGACCCCGTTTTGGGGCTTGGTTTTAAATATCCTTGTGATCTGGTGCTTATAACTTTTGGCTCATTCCTTTGTCAGTTTTTAAAATTCATAATGCAATTTTTAAATGAATATGGTAAATGTCATAGTAAACCAATGCTTGGTACACACAGATCAAGATTCTAGTCATGAATCCCAATTCAATGAACAGAACGCAACTGGATTACTTCACCCGTTTCTTGAAAATGTTTTATGTTTATCCAAGATAGGTTTTTAGTTCTGAGTTTGGATGGGGGTCATTTTTCAACAAAGTTAAGCACAAAATTACTAATACCTCTAGATTTTGCATATATTTTGGATATAAAAACATATTCAACCATTCATTAAGTTAATGATTTCATTTTTCAATGAAATGACTATAAAACACATTTGTTTAGTACCGTATTTTCTATGGAGCGCACTTCACTATAAGCCGCACCCACAAAGTATTTTTTTAAAAAGCTGGAAACGAACATGTATAAGCAGCACCGGGCTATAAGCCGCTGGTATCTCCGCCTCTCTAGGTTTTCCAAGCAGAGGGCTTGGTCCTGAATAAATCTGCTATTAAGGACGAAGCCCTCCGTCTCCAACGCGATCCATAGATTCATCACGCCGAGTTTACATGCAGCGGCTCTATTTCCCTCCTGTACTGACAGATCGACAACCTTCAACTTAAAAGCTAAATCACATGAACTTCTTCGTGTGGTTTCCATGATGAGGGGATACGAGTTTGAAAACATTTTTCTGTGATGCCTGCTGCTAGCATGCCCTTGTTCAAATGAAAATTAGCGCTTTCTTCTTTGATTTCCAATTTTGACTTCCAATGATTAACTTCCTGCTAAAGAGCCCCCTGGTGGTTGAAGAAAAATCCACAGAAAAGCCGCGTGGGAAAAAAGTAGCGACCTCAATAGGATATTCTCCACATGCTCCACATTGTGTGATGTTTGCAGTACAGTGCGATGAAGAGTGTTGAAATGTCTGTTTGGATAAAACAGAAAACATACACAACACAGAACAGAGCAGCCAACCTCTCAGGACAGGTCAGTTATTTGTCTACATTTCTAGAACAAGGGACAACCTCTTGAGAACACTAACATGCTCATTTTAGCGAAAGAAGATCTGTTTTTGGAAGAGGAGTGAAAAAAGTACAAAAATAGAAAATAAAAAAACAGCATGACAAAGAGAAGAAGGGTCCAGCAGTTTTGAAGTCCAGCCTTTGATGGTCGGTGTCCTGCAAACTTTTAGGTGAATCTTTTTATTCAGGAGGACGACTGGAATTTGATCTGAAACACCTGATCTGTGGAGGTGAGTCGATTCACAGCTGACTCACCTCCCCAGATTAATGTGATGGAGGTGGGATGGACATCATAAATACTTAGAAACCTAGAACTATCAACTTATGATCAGAACGGAAGCCTGTCAAGCAACCTAAAACCAAAATAAAAGTCCAGTTTCCTCCTATTTTAGCACTTTGGAAATACAGTAGGCATGAAGCAACATCATTACTTGGAAAAAAGGGATTTCAGCCACATGTTCTGTCCAAGTCCTATATCTGGTTTACTTTTACCTACCTTTTGACCCTTCCCAGCAGCTGTGGGAAATATAACATTTTAGCTTTAAAAGGAACGCCAGCGATTAATGGCAACGCGCCAGAGCTATCACTGCTCTGTTTAATATCCTCTATATTATCTATTCTGCTCCCCAATGTCCAAGACAAGCAAACAAGAAAGCAGTTTGGGCGATGTGCACCTCAAAGAAACTTCAGACAGCATAGAAGTTGACATAGTAGAAAGAAAAAAAAATACAATAAGGTTATTTAACATGATGTACTTTGTACATTTTATAATAAACACGTTGCTGAATACATTACAGGGAATATGGACATGCTTTTAAAGTGTAGTAATGGAGAGGTCTGGTTTGTGAAAGAAATTGTTTTGGTGCTAAAAGTGTTTTGTGAATGTCACATGTTTGAGCAATGACCAGGCCTACCCTCTGCAAAACAAAGGTTTCTTTCTACACCATAGGAAAAGGACATGACATCATCCTGCTCATACAAAGCCTCAATATCCCACTCTTTCTTTGGGCTGGTAAATTTAAAAAAAAGGAAAAAAAGAAGACATGGTATTGTAAGTGAATAATAGGGTTCACTTGTGTCTTTATTTTTAGTGTTTGAGTACATGTCTGACGTGTAATGCTTTGACTTTTATATGTGTAACTCATCTGGTGCTCAGCTTAGTGAGGAAATGATGCAAAGGGAAGAAAAAAAATCAAGACATAAATGAATAATTACTACATAAATCTTGCTGTGCATGTACGACTCAATAAATCATTTGAAAAACACTAAAAAATAACCTTCAAACAGGTTTTAGACAGCCTTTTCTCTTAGCTGTTTCTGAATTACATTTTTTATTGGTATAATGTAATATTAAAATCCCAATTGTCATGTTTTTTTTTAGATATAAGTAGAAAATTATCATAATTTACAAAGATAAGTACTTGGAAAAAACTGTCTAAAATAAAAATGCATAAATACTAACTTTTGCAGCAAGTCTGTATGGATAGATCTTAGCTAAAAGAGGAACAAAAAAAAGAGATCCAAACTCATTTATAATAGCAATGAAAGAGTAAAACATTAAAGGGGGTGAGTTCTATCTATCTACCTATATTTCTTTTATATACCTGTTTATTTAGTTTCAATCTGCTTGAACTTCAGACAGATGAATAGATAACTCCTTTTGCCACATGTAGTACTCTCCAACTTTTCATCTAAGCTCTTTTGTTCAGGCCATGCTTCCTGTCAATGTGCCAGCTGGCAGCTGCAAAGCCTTATTAAAGTCTAAAAGCATACTTTAGTAACCACAAATTAATTTGCAGATCAACTTATGCAGGTATTTGTTTTAATGCAAAATACAGGGGGATTTGCATTTCATTACAACAATGTCACCGATGTATTTTTAAGTACATTTCACAAAGACATGATATTCTGTGGCCATCATTTTGCACTACAAACTAGACAATGCATTATTTAATTCAGAGGTGGTAAAATAAATTTGCACGGATCAGCAGGTGCCAAAACAAACCAGCAGATTCAGTTTTAGACCCATGCAGTCAGAAGCACGGATGGATGTTAATTTCCTCTTCAAATGATAATAGTGCATTTATTTTTGATGGGCACATTGTGCCGCTCATGGCCACTTTTTAAATTCTAATGGAATAATTAAAGAAGAGTCATTTTAGTGTCATTGCTGAAGGTTACAGAAAACGAATAACAATGTTCCAAGCCTTCAGTATGACACACCTGGATTGTGTTTTTGTGCTTGAGGAACACAACTGATTAGCATGATAGCTTAATTTCATACATCTTTGCTTTTGATGGAGCATGATAGAAGAACTAAAAAGTTCTTAATAAATAGATGTAGTGTTAAGAACTTCATCCTTTCTTTCAATATTGGTGCATCAGAAATATTTAGCTCCATTTCATGAAGGTACGAGCCTCAAAGTAAGGAAATGTAGCCCATACATTTTTTTTTACATATTTAGACAAGCCTATTGAATGTTAATTTTAACACCACTGAGGAATGAATAAATAATTTTCAACATTTTTGTAAAATGTGACAAAGCCAATCTTTTGCATTCCTTATTTTATGACACACAACACACCATGTTGTTCACATCAAATTCTGACCTAAAGACTTAAAGACAGTTAAGTAAAATAAAGTTTTTTCAGTGCTTCATCCTGGCTTGTACAGTTATCAGCTAAAGAACGACATAATGAAATTATTTTCATCCATATTGAAAAAATATCAGATCAACAGTATTTATCCAAATGCTAGTGTTATGAATTATCATTAAAAAAACACCTATTTCTTATTCTGAGGACTTTGATATATTGTGAAAATGCTTAGTAGCAAAAATCATCTCTTTTAATATAGTAATAAAAGGCCTACATCAAATATTTTCTAAGAGGTTGTGGTTGTTTCAATGGAACCTGATGATCACACTCATACACTACCCCCTGCTGGTGAAACTGCGTCTATTACACTGTCTTCAACAAGCTCAAAACACGCCCGTCTCTATCTCTAGTAAACTGCTATAATTGAGAAAGTTAGTTTTGTAACGAGGGATATTTCAACCTATAAATATCTGATGATACATCAGGAGCACAATTTGAAAATTAATTCAATGTTACCCCTGATAAATGCACATTTATAACAAGAATGCTTCCAATATATGCTGGAGACACTGATGAATATATTAGTACCGTCAGAAAATCTC